TTTCTCTTGTGTTTCAGAGCTCCTTGGTTCTACGAAGAAGGTGAACGTAAACTTTCAGGATACAGACGGGTAAGTCAGCCGCTCTGCTCCTCCTGGCATGTTCTGCTCATCTGTTTCCATCAGCTTTACAGGGAATCCAAATTTGGAAGATCAGAATTGTTTTACCTACAGTTTTTTTTTTTTTTTTTTTTTTTTTAGAGTTTTACACCACTATTTTTTTTACAATTTTTTTGGACAGTAGGCTGAGAGGAAAGCAGGTATGTGAGAGAGGCAGAGACATGTGGCAAAGGACCACAGGTCGTATTCGAACCCGGGTCGGCCGCGTCGAGGACTAAGGCCCCCGTACATGGGTCATGCGCATTAACCACTGCATCAATTGCACACCTACCTACATTTAATTCTGTCATCTAAACTGCAACCGGTTGTTCATCAATGGTAACATGAAACCTTCATATCCTGCGTGTCTCTTCTATGTGAAAGTATTCTATGGCGATCCATGTTAGCAGAGAGAAGCTTTTACTTAAAATCAGCTGAAATCACAAACACCCTCCTGTCAGTAACATGCGCTACAGTCAGTAGATTGAAACGCTTCTCAAGGAGTTTATTTTTTTTTTCCACTGGAAATTACATTTTAATCTCTTTAATTAGTCATTCTTTCCAAACCATTTGTACAGAATTAATTGCAACCTGATGACAAGATGCTTGGGAGGCTATTCTGAAATAGTTTCCACATTTTGCATACTGATATTTCAACTCAGTTATTTTAGATGTAATTTCTCTCCCTGCTAAAAATTTAAAGACCCAGACTAAACTAACTATAAAAGAGAAAAGAGATGTTTGCTACTTCTCTCTCCATGGCAGTTATTCAGCATGTGCTCGTGTCAGCTAGATGCTTTGAAGCTGAGTGATTTAAACTGAGTTACTTTTACATTCTGAACATCTATCAAGAAAGTTAAACAGAAAGAAGTCAAATTTTTATCCTGTTCCCCCCAATAAATAAAATCCATGTATTTCCCCATTTTCCACATCAAATCACATGAATTTCACAGATGATTCCCATTTTCCACATGAAAATCCCATGAATTTCTCATGTGATCCCCATTTATACATCCAATATCATGAATTTCACATGTGATACCAATTTTCCACTTGAAAATCCCATGAATTTTACATGTGATTCCCTTATTCCACATGAAAATCCCACGAATTCCACATGATTCCCCTTTTCCACATGAAAATCCCATGAATGTCACACGTGATTCCTTTTTTCCACATCATATCCTATGAATTTCACATGAGATCCTTTAAAACTGAGTGATTTAAACTGAGTTACTTTTACATTCTGACCATCTATCAAGAAAGCCAAACAGAAAGTCAAATTTTGATCCCGTTCCCCCTAACAAATAAAATCCATGTATTTCACATGTAATTCCCATTTTCCAGATGAAAATCCATGTATTTCACATGTGATTCCCATTTTCCACATCAAATCCCATGAATTTCACAGATGATTCCCATTTTCCACATGAAGATTCAATGAAATTCGCATGTGATCCACATTTACACATCAAATCCCATGAATTTCACATGAGATTCCCTTTTTTCTCATGAAAATCCCATGAATTTCATATGTGATCAGCATTTTTCACATAAAAATCCCATGAATTTCACGTGATTCCCTTTTTCCACATGAAAATCCCATGAATTTCACATGTGATTCCCTTTTTCCTCATGAAAATCCCATGAATTTCACATGTGATTCCCTT